CAAAGAATGCAGGCCCTGGGCGTGATTCGCAGCCTCATACAGAGACAGTTGGGCGCCCAGCCGAACGAGGCCCAGCAGCCCAGTAGCTGCTGCATCCAAGCAGCCTCCTAGGGCCTTCCGGAAGCTTCTGGGCCCAAGCCAGCCCAGCCAGGCTGCGAGAGCTGGCCAGCTCTTTTCCATAAAAGAAAGAGCTCTGGCCAGGCAGCCTCATTCAGGCAATCGCATGCTAGCGGCAGCGCTGCTGGAGCAAAGGCTCGCGACTGCTGGCTGGCACTGAGAGGCGAGGTGCAGCACGTGCGGTCGTGCAGAGGAGGAGGGCGCTGGTGAGGGCAGCGCCATAGCCCAGCCACCATAGCTGGTGGGCTTGGACTACAGTGAAGCGCAGGGGTGGTCTTCGGGTGAATGAGAGGACAGGTGTGGGTATAGTCAGGGGATAGGTAAAGGATGATGATGATGATGATGTGAGGGCACTTACCTTGTATTGGCGATGGTCTGCATGGGCGACATCTTCAAGTACTTCGGGCTGCCGTTGATGTCAATAGTTGCATTGTTTTTTTTAGTCTGTAGTAGCTGTGTAGGAGTAGGCTGGGCGTTGAGCGCTAAGTGTGAAGGAACGGGACTCTTGTGTTGGGAGGAGGGAGTATGCTCTCCATGAACATTGGTTTTCAGTGCTACGAACCTCCATTGGTTTATTATTGTTGAATGCTGCTCTCTGTACACGGTGTGACTATTTGGCTTTCAATGTGATGGTGTGATCTGGAATTGTCATCTCGCTGTTACTTATTTTCCTTTCAATCTCCATTCGTTATTATTTTTCTTCGCAGTTCGAAATTCGAAATTTTTTGAATTACCTGTTGTGGGGAAACATAGGAGACCTACCGAACTTGCAATCGAGAAATTTTATTGATTAATAATTATTTAATATATTTTTAATTTTTTTCTCGAAATTTTTACAAAGTTCCAACTTTTCATTTTTGATTAGTGGCTCCTTATCTGGGCGATTCACTCGATTTCCCCACTCCCCACCACTCCTCCCAACCCCTTCTCCTCTTCTTCTTGCTCAACTGCCCATCAGTTCTCGCTACAGCCTTTGTAAGTCCCTATTTTCAAAGGCCACGTCAGCTACCCGCGGCACATGACCCTGCTCACTCGTTCACAGACAACAGGGATGGATCAGAAAGCCAACGAGACTGACGAGGCCTATGAAGCACGTTTGGCGGCCATCATGGCCGAAAGCAAACAACGGGCAGAAGCATCAGTAGCAGCAAGGAAGAAGAGGGAGGCAGAGGCAGAGAGGCTGCGTCATATCGCCGAAGATCAACGGCAGAAGCATGCAGCAGAAGCAGCAAAGACGGTCGATGAAGAACGAGTACGACGGCGGGAGATTCTCTTCAGGGAGGAAACTGCGTTACACGCACAGGCCAGGGATTGGCAGAAGGAGGTTGAGAATGGAGACTCCGTTGACTACGGGACCAGGGTTGCTCTCCTGCTCAACTGCGTCATGGACCTCCTCGCTACTTGCATCGCACAGCAGGAGGACATCCACTCTCTCGACCATGCCAATCAGGCGCTGACTAAGCGCATACAACAGCTGGAGCAGCGACCAGTCGCCACCTCCAGCGCCGGCCCCTCCGACCTCGTCGACCGCGTCAACGTCTTGGAGATAGACGCGGGTAAGCTCAAGATCGAGACACAGCGACTGGACCAGCAGGTGGGGGCGGCAGCCACACCGAGCTCAACGCCTTGTGAGAGCATCGCCAAATTTGAGGGGCTCCTGATCTTCTGTGATGCATCGAAGAAGGAGCCTATACCTTGGTGGCGCCAGTTCGAATTAAAGTTGGACATCCACCATGTCGTCCACACAAACTGGCACGCATACTTGTACTCCCGGTCAGGAGGTGCGTGCCAAGCATGGCTGGACAACATGTTGTCCGCACATGCATGCACAGTCTCCGAGTTACACAACTTCATCACCTGGGTCGATCTTACGGCGGCATGGACGAAACGTTTCCAAGTGGAACCGCCCGAGCATCAGGCGATGGACAAGCTGCTGACATTCTCACAGAACAGCATGCCAAGTGGAGACTGGATATCTGAGTTCCAACGTCTGGCAAGCACGCCCAAGCTGCCGCTGAACTTCGACGACATCAAGCTCTACTTCATCAAAAGGTCGTGCCCANACTGGATATCTGAGTTCCAACGTCTGGCAAGCACGCCCAAGCTGCCGCTGAACTTCGACGACATCAAGCTCTACTTCATCAAAAGGTCGTGCCCAACATTGCAAAATGCGTTAACTCAGGTCGTCGAGAACCTCAACACAAGTGAGGAACTCTTCAACAAGGCCGCGCAAATCATTGTGACGAACTTGGAAGCCAAGAACATTGGCCGTTCGTCGACAGCCGGCCAGGGCGCGTATCAGAATCGGTCGAAAGTGGTTGTGGTCGCGGCAGCAACGCCAAGCGACCCTTCAACTTCAAACGAGGCTGCCTCTTCTGCCGAGGGAGACAGATTAGGAGCTGCCCAGAATGGTGCCCGCCCTGCCAAAGGACGAGGGCGCGGCAAAACGAAGACAAACACCACTTCTTCTGGGCTCGGACAAGCAGCTCCAGCTCAAGAACCTTGGACGCAATACGGTCTGACGAAGCGCGGGTATCGCGTCCGCAGCAAGTACCGTTATTGTTTGTGGTGCAACTGCGCGGCACATGAGACCGTGAACTGTCCCACGAAAGCCAAGGGCCCTGCCCAGTCGGGAAAGTGAGCACTGCCGAGCGTGATGCGATGACACTCTCGACGCCTTCGGAACCGGTTGCCGTACGGGTAACCTCCCTCGGTTCCGGGGCACATGCGGAAGTCGTAAGTCGTCCCATTCTTCACTCTTTCGAGGACTATGCTGCCCGGCTCGTACCTTCGCTGAATTCACGAGCCTAAGGACAGGTGTATGTGCGGTTTCTTCTCCGATCGGAAGCAGCAGCATTGAGTCGTCTTCAAGTGGACCTTCACAGGATTCGGCGCGCGCGTTCAACATAAAGGACTTGGACCCGTTGACGCCCGGGGATTTTGCATGGCTCCCTCCCCCTTCCACCGGCTGCTTACCGGAGCCGCAATGCGCAGCTCTTAGCACTCATCTACATACATACCTAGCCTTCTATGCACCACCAACTTCGCCAACGGAGGATGAAGTCGCGGTGGGGGACATCCATGCGTACTTTAGCAAGGTGGCCCGCGAGTTTCGCACGCAGCGGTATGACAACAACAACGCACCGCTCCTTTATGTCCGCATCCAAGTTGGGCAAGCGTCCTGCAACGCTTTGCTGGATAGCGGCACGACTCTCAACTTCATTAGCCAGTCCTTTATGCAAAGGGCCGGCCTTGGACCACAAGTTCGAAGGAAGGCACACCCTACGGCGATCAAGTTGGCGGACGGTAGGACGCAACAACTCCTTGACCGCTACATCGAGGCCGTACCGGTCTATTTCGCACCTCATGCATGCGAACCGGTGACGTTTGAGGTCTTGGATACGGACTTCGACATCATTTTGGGCATGCCTTGGCTTGCAAGTGCGGATCACACGGTCAACTTCCATCGACACTTACGGTCCGCGACGCGTTTGGCGCCAAAGTGCCATGTACCATCCCTCTTCCTCACCCTTCGATCAGGTGCCAAGTTGTAACAGCCAAATCTTTTCGGGCCACTTGCGCTTACGAGCGGACAGACGAGATAGGCCTATGTTTTCTTCGCACCGTCGCGGCAGCCGAATTTCAACCCACGGACTTGTCTTCGGACCCCCGTGTGGTACGGTTGCTTGACAAATTCGCCGACACCTTCGAGTCACCTACCGGCGTGGTGCCGGATCGGCCGATCTCCCACGAGGTCATTCTCGAGGCCGGTGCCGTGCCGCCGAAAGGTTGCATCTATTGCATGAGCGAGGAGGAATTTACAGTACTCCGCGCGCAGCTCAATGATTTGTTGGACAAAGGCTGGATCCAACCTAGTAGCTCACCCTATGGTGCGCCGGTTCTCTTCGTGCGGAAGAAGAACAAGGATCTTCGCCTATGCATCGATTACCATAAGCTCAATGCGCAAACCGTCAAGAACGCGGGACCTCTTCCCCGTATTGACGACCTTCTGGAGCGTTTGGACGACGTTTCCAAATTAGATTTGAAGTCGGGATATCATCAGATTTCGATACGCCCGCAAGATCGCTACAAAACCGCGTTTAAGACACGGTATGGACACTTTGAGTGGGTCGTCATGCCTTTCAGACTCACCAACGCCCCGACGACTTTTCAAGCGGCGATGACCAACGAGTTTCGTGCGATGCTAGACCGGTTCGTGCTGGTCTACTTAGACGACATCCTCGTCTATAGCCGAACCTTGGAGGAACACCTCGAGCATCTTCGACGAGTATTGGAGACACTCCGTCGTGCCAAGTACAAAGCCAACCGCGACAAGTGCGAGTTCGTACGTCAAGAGTTGGAATACTTGGGCCATTTCGTCACTCCACAAGGCATCAGTCCGTTGTCGGACAAGATTCAAGTCATCCAAGATTGGCCGGAGCTGCGGAACGTCACGGATGTCCGTTCGTTCCTTGGCCTTGCCGGCTACTACCAACGTTTCATCAAAGGATACTCGGAGATCGCGGCCCACTTATCCAAGCTTCAATGCGAGGAACGACCATTTGACTTCGGGACGGATGCGCGAGCATCATTTTTGGCCCTTAAGGCCGCATTGCTATCAGCGGAAGTCTTGCAAATATACGACCCGCTATTGCCAACGCGCGTCACTACGGATGCGTCCGGCTATGGCATTGGTGCCGTCCTCGAACAACATGATGGCGTGGACTGGCACCCGGTTGAATACTTCAGCAAGAAAGTGTCGATCGTGCATTCAATCGATGATGCACACAAGAAGGAACTTCTCGCCTTCGTCCACACACTCAAGCGGTGGCGACACTTCCTCCTTGGTCGATGCCAATTCCGATGGGTAACGGACAACAATCCGTTGGTCTTTTACAAGACCCAAGACACCGTCAACAGCACGATCGCCCGTTGGATGGTGTTCATCGACCAGTTCGACTTTTTTCCCGATCATATTCTGGGGAAGTCAAACCGTTTTGCGGATGCTCTTTCACGGCGTCCGGATCACTGCACCGCCGTCTACTCGACCTTCGAGATAGAGGATGACTTGCGGGACAGTTTCATCCGCGGCTATCAAGCCGACCCCGAATTTCGCGACAAGTACGCAAATTGTTCCTCTCCTAATCCGGTGCCTTCACACTATCGGATCCAAGAGGGATACTTGCTCGTTCACTCGCGGGGAAAGGATCTATTTTGTGTGCCGCAAGATTCACACTTGCGCACTAGGCTTCTTGGTGAGTTCCACGATGCCCCCGCCACCGGACACTTTGGAGTCAATCGCACGATTGGCTGGATCCGCGAGCGCTTTTGGTGGCCCGGTCTTCTCGACGACGTCACACGCTATTGCGAGTCATGCGAGGTTTGCCGACATTGCAAATCCCGCAATCATCGTCCGTATGGCGAACTGCGACCATTACCGGCCCCCTTGCGCCGAAGGGAAGCGGTTGCCATGGACATTACCGGGCCGTTCCCCAAGCACACGACGGGCGTGGATGGGATTCTCACGGTGGTTGACCGACTCACCAAGTTTGCCATGTTTTTGCCTTGCCGCTATCACGCCAAGGCACCGGAGTTGGCCGAGGTTCTCTACGCCGGTTGGATTTGAACCAAGGGTTACCCCAAGGAGATCGTCTACGACCGCGACACTCGGTTCATGTCCGATTTTTGGTTGGCGCTCGTCAAACGATGGGGCTCATCCCTCAAGCCGAGTTCGGCTCGCCACCCCCAAACCGATGGCCAAACAGAGAGGACACATCAGACCGCACAGGTCCTTCTTCGCACTCTCATCCGTCCCGACCAAAAGGATTGGGTCGAGCGGCTGCCGGATATCGAGTTGGCATACAACTCGTCCATCCATCCGGCTATCGGGATGTCGCCCTTTGAGTTCGAGCATGGCTCGCCGGTCAATTCTCCGTTGGACAAAATCATCCCACGGGTGGCCGAGAGCGACGACCATCTTCTCTTCATTCGTCAGATGCAAGAGCTTCTTGTCAAGGCACGCGACCAGATGTCAAAGACGCAGCAACGCATGCGCCAACAGGCCAACCGCCTGCGTCTTCCTTGCCCGTTCCGCGTCGGCGACCTCGTATGGGTTTCCGCTGCGGAATTCAGCCTCGAACAAGATATCTCTCGCAAGCTCCTTCCGAAATGGATGGGGCCCTGGCCGATCGTGGCACCCGCTGGGGACGCACCCGAAGGACCTTCATTTATCATTCAGGTGCCCGCCCACTTGCCCGTCAACCCGGTCTTTCACTGTTCCAAGTTGGCTCTCTACACGCCAGCGGAACTTGACGACTTTCCCGGGCGACGATCGCAAGACCCACCCTCGATGGACGGTTTCCAAGAGGTTGGCGACATCATATCCCAGCGACATTACGGCAACAGGCCGACTGAATTCTTGATCCATTTTGCATATTGCGCCCATAGAGCTGACAGATGGTTGACCCGTGCGGAACTTCAAGCAACAGCTCCCGACGTCCTCGCACGCTACGAACGCAAGTTGCAAGGCAAGCCAGCATCTTCGGCTCCATGCCGCACCCTCGTCCAAGTTCCACCTTCAGATCGTCAGCTTCGCCCTCGACCCGGCTTGACTTCATAAGGAGGGGGGGGTGTTGCATGCTGCGCCTGCACACGGGCCCCATTTGAGGGGCCCGACGGTTGCTGAGGGGCCCCCAGGCCGCGTACCATACAGCACACGCCCTGGAGGCCCACGGCGGCCCTTCAGGCCCTAGGTAGCACACTAGTCAGAATAGGTTTAGTTTACTTACCTTTCTGTGTGTGTGTGCTGTCTTACTTTGTCTGATAGGTGCCGTTTCGGACTTGCAGCCCCAAGGCCGGACCTTGGGACTGGGTACACCGGAGGCAGGCCCGAAACGAGGCCAGGCGCATTTTGGCGCGAAACCAGTAGGTACAGGCATCGTTTCGGTCCTGCAGGTCCCAAGGCAACGCCTTGGGCTAGGTGCACAGGTACCAGGCCGTTTTTAGGCCAGGCACATTTCTGCGCCTTGCTGCATCAGCGGCATGGTCTGGACGTCCGGTAGGGACCCAGACCAGCTGGGCCGTTTTCTGAGGCCAGCATCAGGTAGGCCCAGCCGGCCCAGCACTACAAATAGCTGGGCAGCGGCTGGGCAGACACAGTTCGGGTAGCTCACTTCTGGAGCGACACGCTGCTGGTTGAAGCAGCGTTATTCTGCGCCAAGCTACAGAGTAGGGAGTAGCGGAGTAGGTAGTAGAGAGGGGCGGAGGCCTTACCTGCAAGCAACGAACTTACCTGGCACCATAGCTGGGCTCCGCGCAGTACCTGCACACGACGACGACCACAGTCAGTACGGTGACAGCTACCTGCAGGTGAGATAGCAAGGAGGACGCCATCTTCTTCTTCTTCCTCCTCCATCTCTCTCTCTCTCTCTCCTTTCTCCTTCTTCTTCCTTTTCCTTACCTTCTTCTTCATCTACGAGAGTGAGAGAGATCATCGGTAGGGAATACAGGCAGAGGTTATGTTGGGCACATTGCCCAGGATCTGATTCGACATTCTGGGACAGACATTGATTGGACACTCAGCAAGGGACTATTTTACTTTTTTCTTATTTCTTATTTCTTTTCTTTTTTTTTGTTTTCCGTTTTTCATTTTTCTTTTGACGTGCTCGCTCCTAGTGGTCCATTGATCACACCTTCGACTTCATATGGTTCCTCTCTGACGAAGGAAAAGAAGAGGACAGGCGACAGCAGCATTCAGAGGGACGATGCAGCGGAACGTTGCATCTTTCTCGGGTAAGAATTGGACAAGGGCACTACAAAGGAGCATCATTATGACTTTTCTCAGACCACGGGACTCGAGGTGACCAGTTCGCTCAGACATTCGGGAACTGAAGGAGACTGTGGGCACACAACGACGTAACAGGCAGCATGAACTTCTTTGTGGACCTGGACCATCTGGAGGAGTACGCCAATGCAGAGGAAGTGGTGCAGGACTCAACCTGACCTTGTCCCCAGGCCCGACCGGCAGCCCCTGAGGATTATGCTTCCAAACCTAGCGAGCGCCGCTTACCGCCTTGCACTCAGAGCCATAGCAGCGCTCTCGTTTTTTTTCCGCTGAGTGCAAACTGGCGCAGTTCGCTCGATAGCACTGCTCATTCCGTGGGTTGGTCAAGTAAGTGCACTAGCGACGGTCTCCGTGACGTTACTTTCGGCATGGCGGATTCACTGTGATCGGAGGATGGCGAGCGGGCGTGCTTCGCCACGAGGAAAGCCACACCTATGTGCTCTTGGCGTTCCTATCTCTGCCTGCATGCCTAGTGTGCTTGAGTTTTCTAGCATCCCTGCCACCTCCTCGCAAAGAACCTCCCCTCCTACATGATGTACCCTCTCCAACCCCACCTCCCCATCCCTTGTCTCCTACTTGGCCTCTCACATGGCCCACCGCGGCCTGCGGCGTGCATATCAAGGCTTCTTCACTCAAATCTGAAGCAACATTGCCTCCTAACCCTCCCCCTCTCCCTTCCCCCCCTCTGCACACTGCACCTACACCCCCACCACCTCCCCATGACATCCCCCTCCTGGATCCATAGATACCTCGGCTTTTGTGTTCCCGTTGGCAAGGTTTGGTGGAGCTGTCTTCACCCTCGCACTGCCACCGAATACTATTTTCACTTTTGGTTTAGTTTGGCTATGCCAGACAGAGCAGGCGCTCCTCGCACTGGCGGCATGAACAACCGCGCTTATTTGCAGCACTATCGTGTATGCTGCTCTGGCTATGACACTGGCCGTTGGAACGGAGCTTTTGCTATGAGCGCTTGCGAGCTGAGCGTGCAGAGAAGCTGGTCCACCACATCTCCTCTACCTCGGGATCTCTCTCTCTCTCTCTCTCTCTCTCTCTCTCTCTCTCTCTCTCTCTCTCTCTCTCTCTCTCTCTCTCTCTCTCTCTCTCTCTCTC